CCAAGGATCCCATTGTACGGCAGGGGGAGATCAACCACATCAAACACAACCTTATCGGTCCGGTAATTCAATTCTCCTCCAAACGTCACCGGCAGCGTGATCTTTCCCTTAGGACGACACATGCCGAGGTTGATCCCTTGGAAAGTGCCAGTAATCTTGAGCTCTTCATCTGATATTCGAAGCTTGCTGAGCACCTTGGGGGAAATCAGATTCAACCCAGCCCCACCGTCAACCACCATCTTTGTGACCTTGAGGTTGCGGATTGTTGGTGAAACCAACAACGGCGAGCACCCTACCGCGGTGGTACGGTCAGTGTGATCCTCTTCGTCGAAGATGATGGGCGTGCGGGACCATTTGAGCGGTTTCTGGGAGTCTGCCGCTGGCTCTACGATGTTGACCTCACGCGCCCATTGTTTAAGCTGGCGGTGAGAGGAGTGCAAAGATGTGCCTCCATCAACGCATAGGACTTCAGTGGCCTTCTGGAACTCTTGCTCGGTGGTTTCCTCTTCATCCCCTTCATGACTTTCGTCATCGCCTTCTCCTTTCTCACGGCCTCTCACAGGTTTCTCCTAATGCTGGGAAGCCTTGCCGTGGCGGCCTCCTCTGCTGTCGTGACCCTTCTCGCCAACACTTTCTTGGTCTCTTTCCTTGTCACGCTTCTCGTACTCAGCTCTCTGCTTTTTGACAAGCTGCTCAACTTGGTGACACTCTTGGAGATCATGGCCCTTGGTCCGGTGGATCCTGCAGTATGGCCCATCAGCCTTCCCAACCTTTTCAGCCGCCGCGGCCTCGTGGCAATCAGTGCACGCGGCAACTTCCTTGTCGAGGGCTTCGGTCTTGGCCTTCTTGCCGGTACTAGGACTACCAGAGCCCTCGATAGCCAACACTGCTTATTCCTTGCGCTTCTTATTGCGTTTCTTGTTCTTCCTCTTCGGGTCGGCGGCATCGTCGTCATCCTCTGAGTCGACTTCGACGTCGTCCTCTTCTCAGGGAGCCGCCTTCCTTCCTCCATTCTAGCACACTTATCCGCCAAGGTGTGTAGCTCATTCACAGTCTTGGGCAGTCGTACGTTCATCTTGGAACGTATCCTCCAGTTGCGCATGTTGGACTGGAACGCGGCAATCACAACTGTCGGGTGGATGTCTGGAATGTTTCTGTGCACCCGGCTAAACCTCTAGATGTACTTCCGCAAGCTCTCCCCTTCCTTTTGCGGAAGGAGTTGCAGATCGTTGGGCCATCCTAGTTCTTGATGGCCGCCCGTGAAGACGCCAACAAACTCATTGCACAAGTCAGCCCATGATGAGATGAAATTCTCCAAAAGGTGCATCAGCCATGACCTCACATTTGGTTGAGTGCTAAAGGGAAGTAATTGGCGAACACCTTCTCATCTCTTCCCCCGACGGCTTAAACAGCGATAGTGTAGATGCTCAAGAACTCTGTCGGGTTCGACCTTCCATCATACTTCTCTGGTATTTGTGGCTTGAAAACGCGGGCAAATGGCCAAAGGACTTGCCGCAGCTCGCGAGTGAAGGCAGGGCACCCAACCTCGAAAGGCAAGTATCTGCTTTCACGGCGCGGGTTCGCCGACGTCTGGGCCATTGCGCATGTCCGGTTGACAGCGGGTTTCACGGTGTCGTTCTATGGTGACACGCGCGTCGTTCCTCCGCCGATCTTCCAGGATCTATCGCTGATCTTGATGGGCCCGAGGATTAGATGAAGCCATCGATGCCTCGTCGGGCTCCTGGTTGCGTGGTTCTGGTTGCAGCCTCTGCGTTGGCTGTCGTGGAGGGGATTGTACCGTTGGAGTGGCCCCCTCGACTTGGCCAATGGCTTGAACTGTGGTTATTGCTTGTGGGCGTCGCGGCGGATCCGCCCACTGGTCGCTCGGCTCCTGCCAGTACCAGTGGTGGCAACGTCGCGCTCTTGTCGCCGCGAGCCAGCCGCCACGATGGTATGGTGGCGAAAAGGGTGCGCCTGGGGGTTAACGACCTCGTTCGGCGCTTCGTCTTGGTTACCCTGCCCCGGGGGAGGCGCATGCCCCGCTGTTGCGCCCGTTGCAGGGACAGCCAAGGGGCCGCGGTTCACACCAGGGCGAGCGTTGTCAATGTGGCTACGTCCTTCAGCATGATGGGGAGGTAGAGACTGAGTGTTCTCCCCACCCGTGCGTTGTGGAGCACGGTCGTCGAAATGTTGTTGATGCCGCCCTCCTCCGGCGTTTCCTGCTCCTGCTTCGGTCACGGGGGGAACGATGACAGCGCCGCCTGCGCCGGTCACGTTACCCACGGCGTCTGCGTCCCCCGACGCCGCTGCAGCCACCCTTCGAGGTGGAAGGATGAGCAGTTGCGCCGGACTTCTTCTTGAGCGACATGGATGATGAAGCCAACGATGAAGAAGATGGCGACGAAGATTGACGTGTTGTTCACGACCTCAGGTTCGCACAAGCGCTCCTCCTACCTAGCGCGCCAAGTTGTCGTGGTAGAACACGGCCACCTATGGGGCCATCAGCCCCTTTGTGGTTCAACAGAGGGGATCGCATTGCACAAAGAGCAGAGGCCGTGGGACAGCACGGTAGTGATGATGATGCTAGTTTCACCCAGGTTCGGGCCGCTAAGAAGTGTAAAACCCTACTCCTACTTTGGTGGATTGATGGAGGGACCGTGAAGAACGCGCGGGCAAGGTCGCCTCGGGGAGAGCAGCTACGCGCGTATGAGTATACGAGGGTCCGCATCCTTTCTAAGGTTGCCACGGTCCTCCTTTTATAGGCTAAGGGGTTACCACAATGGCGAAACGGTCATTATCCAGTGCTTAGATAGCTAACAATGATATCATACCTAACTCTGGCAATTAGAACAAAGCACATTAAATGCACTACTAGGTGTCACGCGTTTTATGCATCACCAATTTCTTTTTTTATCATTTTACATTGGAAGTAAAGTGAACTTCAATTATTACCCAATTGTGCCCATGCTATCTTGTCTCATGTGAAATTTAACATGCATAATGTTTATATACAACTAACAAAATATTTCAAAAGCCCGTGATTGTGCCCATGCTATCTTGTCTCTACATGTAACATTTAACATGCATAAAGTTTATGTACAACTAGCAAAATATTTCAAAAGCCCGTGGCAACTCACAGGCATTCTACATTGTTGTTTGAGACAGGATGAAACATGCTAAATCCCATGTGAAATTATCAAAAAAGAAATATAATCAGGCCAACATCCACCCAATCAAACCCCGTATGAATGTTCAGCTTCACCAGTTGACAAAACACAACAAAACTAATGAATAATGATGTTCAGCTTCACCATTTGCCCAAGTGATCAAACTGAATACACATTGCATAATAAACATACAAAGACGGGTAGAAAGACCTAAGAAGCACGACCTATTTCCAATAAACAGGCTGAAAATGTTTACTTCACCAATGCAAAATATGTCGGCAACGGCCTGTCTCTAACTCTATTGTGTATGCTCCTGCACCTTCCTGGTTAACAAGGATAAAGAAAATACTCCAAACACAAACTCAAATCTAGAGTGCACACACCTCTGGACAAAATGCAGCACAATTTATCCAACATGGTGATACCAAATCACGATCTCGTAACTTGCCAATACTCGATTGGTGCAACACATGCATGTCAAATGGCATTCTGATCATGTGCGCAACTATGGCATGTTAAGGCGTTTATAAGAATCTCAAGCAAAAGCTGGTACTTTCAGACCACCATGCCAAAAGTTGTTCCATAGGTCAATTATCAACCAGTTTGGTTTGGGACAGGCAATGTATTGGGTGTTGTAATCAAGATACACTGCATTAGCTGATGGTCTCTGTGATTACACAATCTGTTTGGTTCAAGCAAGGTTTGTTTTCCCATTACAACACAGCTCTGACGCAGGATAGCTTGGGACGCCTGAAAACAGAAGGAAAAAAAGGACCGCGGCTCGCCCAGATCCAGCACCAGAACAAAACTAAACAAACCGAGATCGATCCAGAACCAGCCCAAACAAGGCCAGATCAACGAACACAGACGCATACAGAGAAGATCTCTCCTGGTCCAGAGGCTGTTGGTACATCGATTGCCAAATGAATCCAAGATTTAGCGCACTGGATTCTATAGATTCGTCGGTGGGCGAAAGGAGACGGATGAGAGCAGGGAGGTTGCCAGCACAGGTGCTTGCTGCTGCTCAGGGTCTCTGGGCCTCAGGCCTCTTGGTGAGGAGAAGGTTGGGATGAGAGGGCTCTTGGTGAGGAGAAGGTTGGGACAAGTGAGACGGCATGCGGTGTTAATCCCAATCCAGCTGGGATGGTGTTATCCCAATCCATCTGGGATGGGCCCTTTTGGGAATTGTGTTATCCCAATCGAGCTGGGATGGGCCCTTTTTGGAATTGTGAAGCACCGCATCTGATTACAGGGTGACTGAAACCCGAAACAACTGAATCAAACATGTGTATGGTATTCACAAGCCGATGTAATCGGAAGACAGCAAAAATTCTCCTATATCTTGCACACATTTTGAGCTCGTTGATTTAGGATTTCAAGTTGTAAGTCGTAGTGGTATCTCATGGTTACTGTTTGCAGACAGGACCAAGCCTTGGTAAAATATTCTGAACTACTACTGCTAAGAATGATAGTATGTATCAATGAAGGAATGCATATTTGCAAGCAAGGGCAAGTAGCATCTCCTAAGTTTTGGATGGCGAATAGGGGACCAAGTCTCTCGCACAAACTACTAAGCAGGTTTTAGGACAACAAATACAGATTCTTATATGTGACCTTCCAATACACAGGTTCAGAACATTTACGGCAGGGCATCACACACAGGCCCGGAGGAAAAGATAGAGTAAATGTATTCTACTAGGGAAATCAGAGGGTTTATGGCATCCAGACAGGTCCTCTTAAGCAAAGCTTCCAGGTTGGGCCATACTCTCAGTCATCTGGTTTGGGTAGGGGCTCCAATAAGCAGGCTCCAAACTTCATTGGTCTTGGCTGTTTTCAGTAAAGGATTGGGCAGGGGTGCAAATGTGAAACGGACAGGTTCATCGGAAGAGAGCTGAGCTGGGTTCAATGTGTTTCAAAGGCAGATGTGGTTAGAAGCAAGTATTGAACATGTAGTCACTATATACATGTCAACACGCAGAGGAACCATACCTGTTGGATTCGACAACCTGCATTTTAATAGCCATAGCGTTTTCCAGATGAAAGATAGGTAGAGCCAGATAACCTGATAAAAAATTTGCAAACAGTACCAAGTGAAAAATTACATATGGAATAAAGATAAGCATACAAAGATAAAAATGGAATATTAAGTAAACTTGGCCTTGGCCAAAGTTTGCACAAAATGATACTCCCTCCATCTCATAATATAAGATATTATTACAACCAACATATCAGTACATTGGTTCTAATAACATCTTGTATTATGGGACGGAGGGAGTAATAGACAGCAATATATCGAGTGTAAAGAAACATTAATATTTTGGTTAAAAAAAACCATGCCTATACATGTGCCGCTTAATTGTGATTAGGTGCTAGGCGACAGCAGAACGGCAAGCGATTATTGTAATAGCCGTTTGCTTAATCGTGCCTAGGCATGCCGTATAGGCAAAGTAGGCGCTAGAGGCAGAACTAGCAATTTACACTTAGGCTTTTTTTAACGTTTTTTCCCTACACAGAACTATGGTCAACAACGAGAATATGTATACAGGGTGACTCAAAAAAAAGTCATCCTTACCCGCTGCTGCCAGAACCACCACTGTAAGCACCATAGCCGCCTCCGTAGACCTAGAGATGGTTTCAGTTCGTACTGTGGGATAAGAAACCTGACAAAATGTTGGCAGGATTCGCAATGAATAAAATGGATGCTATACCTGGGAGCTGCCATAATTTGCATAACGGTCAACAGGAAGCACATCGTCTGATGCACGATATCCAATGGAATATGGATAATCGTGCCCAGCAGACTTACTGTCTCTGCTTAGATACTTTGGCTCATCGGGCACACTAGCAGGCAAAGGGTGATATGGGATCACAGGTGGAAAACCTGATAAAGCACCTTCTCTTTCAAAGAAGTTGGCTTTCAGCCTTGTAGTTATTTGCACAAGAGCATGCCTTGCAACATCAAGATCTCCGCCGATCTGTTGTACATGACAATTACAACAGTAAATATTTTTTATGGCAATAAGGAGTCGTGAAACAAAGAACATCAGAAGTTAAAATTGTTACCTGGACCATCTCTTCATCGTCCGATGCTACTTTTGGAACATCCTCCTTCGAAATGATCCGTATGTTTGCTCTCGATGTTCTTCGTATCTCCGTAATGATTGAACCACCTTTGCCGATCAGGCACCCTATCCGTGATGTCGACACCAACAAACGTGTAGTATATGATGGCTCCCCCGATTCTGCATCAATTTTCTCACTGCATCTTGGCTGTAAACGGACTGTAGCATCAATTGTTGGAGAGACAGGATCTTCAAAGAACTGCATGGCACGGAAAATTAGAATTAACCAGGACCTGCTACTAAAATAAACATGGAAATGTATCATGCAAAAACTGAAGAAGAGAGAAATTACCTCCTTTGCCGAAACTGTAATTATACAGTCATCTTCAGCACTCGAACTATCCACTTTGATAAAAGCTCCAGATTCTTGCCTAATCTGTTTGATAATTCCACCTCCTTTTCCAATTACACCTCCGACATTCGCCGCAGCACAAAGCAGACGCAGGGTAAACTCTTTTGCAGAGCTCACCTCCCTCCGTGGTTGGTATATAGAAGGCCAATCTCCCACTATATCACCTTTGTATCGTCCATAAGGACTAACCATAGGAGTAATCCCTACAACTGGTGCAGTAGAGGAACTACCAAGGCGGGAGCCCGCTGGAAAAGGTTGGGTTAAGCTGGACGCAAGGAGATGCTGTGACCTGGATGGGTTGCCATGGAGGCGAGATGACACTTGGAGAAGAGCTTTTCTAACTACAATCGGATCCCCAATTATCTAGTTTTAAAATGATAAAAAAAATGTTATATATTTATGATTTCACAGTGACACTACAAAACAATACAATAATATATAGGACTAATTTTCTGTACTCCTGGGAGTATGTACTCCCATCTTCAATATACCTCGTATACGCATTGATTATACCTCTTTATCATTCTCAATATACTTTATTAAATATTCTAAGATACCACAATATGAGTTTTGTTGAAAAAATATCATTTGTGACGTACTTTTTGTAATATACTCCCTTCATTTCTTTATTTAAGGTGTATAATTTTTGGCACGGTGACCAAGGCACATAATTTTACACAACTTAGGACGAAACTAACCTTGGCTAAATCATTTATTAGCGGCAAGTAAATCATTTGGAAGAGATACACGCAACCGGGGGAGAGATATTTTCCTTTCCTTCTCTATAATGAGAGATACATGCAATCACGGGAGAGATTCTTTTCTTGTCTTGGAGGGCTAAAGACGGAATTACGAGGAATTAAAAGAAATGCACCTTACATTGTGGAATTTTATCAAAAAACAAATACACCTTATATAAAGGAACGGAGGGAGTACCTTTTTCACATACAAACAAATCAATATATACATAAACCTTCGAAAATATGAGACACACATGATATTTTTCATGAAACTCATTTTGGGGTATCTAATACTCCCTCCGTCCGGAAATACTTGTCATCAAAATGAATAAAAGAGGATGTATCTAGATGTATTTTAGTTCTAGATACATCATTTTTTGTCCATTTTGATGGCAAGTATTTTCGGACGGAGGGAGTAATTAATAATGAAGTATATTAAAAATAATAGAGGTATAAAACATTCATCTATGTGGTATATGAGGGGTGGGAGTACGTACTCCTAGGAGTACACAACCATTTTCCTAGGCTGCAGAATATGAACTATTTGTATGTCATATATATATAGAAAGTCTATTCATCACCCAGGGTGCAGAATAAGTTATTCTTCACCCGAGTTAACCTTGCGGTCATTTCATAAATAAATTACATTTGAAATACAAATAGTTACATTCATATTAATTCACTGCATAAAATTTGGCATAAGAAAAAAGGTATAGGTCATAAGAAAAAAAAACTGCATTTTATGTATATTTTACACTATGTTTTTACATCTGTAATTTTACGTAACATAAAATATTTTTTACGGCGATTATATATTTTATTGCGTTCTCTTTGTACATTTGAAATAAGACAAAATTTACG